GAGTGGTCAGGAGTCAGGGTGCCCTCTGAGGCCTGGTGACAGAGGGGCGTCTGTGAGTGGTCAGGACAGCAGGGTGCCCTCTGAGGGCAGGGGTGGCAGAGGGGCGTCTGTGAGTGGTCAGGACAGCAGGGTGCTCTCTGAGGGCAGGGGTGGCAGAGGGGCGTCTGTGAGTGGTCAGGACAGCAGGGTGCCCTCTGAGGGCAGGGGTGACAGGGGGGCGTCTGTGAGTGGTCAGGACAGCAGGGTGCTCTCTGAGGGCAGGGGTGACAGAGGGGCGTCTGTGAGTGGTCAGGACAGCAGGGTGCTCTCTGAGGGCAGGGGTGGCAGAGGGGCGTCTGTGAGTGGTCAGGAGTCAGGGCACCCTCTGAGAGCAGGGGTGACGGGGGCGTCTGTGAGTGGTCAGGAGTCAGGGTGCCCTCTGAGGGCAGGGGTGGCCGCTCACCTGCCCCTCTGTGTTCCCCGTGTGCCACAGAGCGTTGCGCAGGTGCTCTCCCACGCCCGTGGTGGAGTTCACCACCTTGAGGGACACCCCCGAGTAGCCGTACGCCCGGCTGGGCTTGTCTTCCCAGTAGGTCTGTGTGACCTGCTTCCACATCACCACGTAGAAGCGGCTGCTGGACTGGTAGCCAAAGACGAAGCCGGCGTAGTCATCATCCCGGTCCGTGTTGACGTAGAACGTGCCGCTGAAGTCCACGGAACCAAACTCGTCAAACCCTGTGGCAAAGCAAGCACACGGCCCCAGGGCTAGGGAGCCCCTCAGGGACCCCGGGCTGGCCGCAGCCCTCGGAAAGCAGGTACTGGAGCTGAAGCCGGCCCTGTGCCTCCACCCGACACAGCTTCTCTACTGCTGGATATGTAAAACGCCAGCTGAGAGCGAGCAGCAGAGTTTTACTGTGTGGTCTAATCACTTCAGATTGAATCCAAACATGAAACGGCTCACTGAGTATCAAATTCCAAAGTAGAGACGTGAACTACTCCTTCCTGCCAAGATCATTTAGGGAGACAGTGCTGCACATCAAAGCAGGACAGGGCTACCCAAAAGATCACCCTAATCCCGCCCCACAGGGCTACCCAACAGATCACCCTAATCCTGCCCCACGCCCTCCCACAACCAACCGTCAGCATCCTGTTTTCTGTGGATACCACGGGCAGCCGCTGGGGTCCCCCCGCTCACCTACAGCAATGCCAGGGTCTGAGTTCGCCGTCTGAACCAGCTCCTTCCCTTGGTGGCGAATGACCCAGTTGGGATCAATCTGTGTGGTTCCCTTGGGGTCCAGGGGGACCATCTGGAAGTTCCTGAAGTCTGTCTCACTGATGGCGTTGTTCTCTGGGCACACATCTTCGATGTCAGGGACATTGTCATTGTCAAAATCGTCCTTACAGATATCACCCCGTCCATCACCTGTTCACAAACACACACCAGGGAAACAGCACCAGTGAGGAGTGAGCCAGAGGGAGCTGGTTCTCTGGGGTTGGGGGTCGAGGGCTGGTGGATTGCTGCTTGCCATCTGACACTGAACTTGAATGCAATTGAGAAACTCTTTTTCAAAACATCCTTCTGATTAATACTGCAGCCGCCAGACTTGCTGCTTATTCCACGTTGAGCACATGGGCAAGAAATTGGAGAGATGCCCTGAGGGTCAGGCTGAACTTCACCTTCAAAAAAATCACCTTCTTTAACCACTGGCACCATCTCAACCAACTAATTCAGCATTTAAAGTAGAAGTTTTCATCAAACACAGTCTCTTTCTATGGAGATGTGGACTTCTTTTCTACAGAGGCATCTAGGCAAACTCTCAGCAAGCTTGTGACAGGAGGCCGAGCAGGCCACATACATGACCACACACATCCTGGTGTGGAAAGGGGGTGGTCCCTGGGACGTGGGAGCTGCCCCGCCCCTGGCTCCCGGCAAAGCCCCGCATGCTGCCAGTCCACTGGACTGTCTGTGGGCTTCAGAAAGAAGTAGATTCCAGCCTGGATACTTCCTCTGAGGTTTTCACTATGGCACCACAGTTCTGCTCAATATCATACACTCTCTTACTACGTGTAGAGACCATGCAATCCTATTCTTTTAAATACTGTGCACATACCAGTCCCCTGCCCGAGGGCCCATGACCAGGGTCCCACATCCCACAGAGAGGCTGAGATCTGGACTGGAGGCTCATTTTCAGCGAAATATCCTCCAGGCTGTGTGAGGGGGTTCCCTCACATTAACCCTCCATCTGAGTGTCTCCTCTCCTGCTCTGAGTCACCCTGGACCTCAGGATTCCTGGTCTCCATTTGTTACGGATGCCTCTTCCAAAGAGGGCTTGGCAGGGCAGCAGGGCAGCCCCTCTGCTTGCTCAAGGCCAGCCCACCACAGCCCCCAGCGGCTCGCACTGGCTGCTGAGTGGCTGAGGGGCAGATAGGCCAGGCCAGCCGCACCTCCTCAGGAGCCTGCTCTGCTACGGTTCTGAGCCACACTGGCTTCCTTCCTCGGAGGCTCTGTGTTCTACTCCCCCATTTTGAGTACTTTGCCAAAAACAATGAAAATGCCCTGCCACCCACTGGTATCATACACCAAGCCACACGTCCTTCCAAGAGACTGTCAGAAGTCCTGAAAGTGCTACGGACACTCGGGTCTCCCCACCCCAGCATGCCGGGCACACATGGCTCCTCGCATAGCTCAACATGAGACGGCAGCTGCCTGGGCAGTTGGGGTGGGAAGCAGGGAGCACCCCGCAGACCAGGCCTGGCAGGAAGGGCCCCGGCAGGCGCGGCGCGGGGCGCGGGGCCCACCGTCGGCGTCCTCCTGGCCCGGGTTGAACACCAGCCGGCAGTTGTCCCTGTCGTCGGGGACGCCGTCGTTGTCGTCGTCCGAGTCGCAGGCGTCGCCCTGGCCGTCGCCGTCGTGGTCGGCCTGGTTGGCGTTGGAGAGGTACGGGCAGTTGTCCTGGTTGTTCTGGTGGCCGTCGTCATCGATGTCTTCGTTGTTGTCACACTGGTCTCCGACAAGGTCGTTGTCCACGTCCGTCTGGGGACAGCATGAGGCACACGCACGGGCTGTGAGCGACCCCACAAAGCCCCAGCTCGGGTCAGATCGCAACCTCCTCTCATGGGGCCAGTGCCCAAGTCCCCTCTAGGGTCTCCCTCAGAACCGGGCCTGAACTGGGATCCCGGTCCCAAGGCCAAGCGGGCAGTGCCCCACAGACACTGGGGAGGAGAACGCCACACTCCACAGCATTTGCCACCAGGCACCTGGGGCCCTCACCAAGGCAGGGAGGCCTCTGGCCACTGAGACAGACCTGAAGTTAGGTTAGAGTTTGAGGTTTCCAACTAAGAGGCTGAAGGCATGTCTGTCATAATGCCTTGGCTGAGCTGTTGGGACCCACAAAGACTCATCACTATTGGCTGCTGAGCACCAGATATAGCCCCCCAGACAGACCAGAGACAGCACCCCAGACACCCCAGAGACAGCCTCCCAGACACCCCAGAGACAGCCCCCAGACACCCCAGAGACAGCTTCCCAGAGAGACCAGAGACAGCCCCCAGACACCCCAGAGACAGCATCCCAGACAGACCAGAGACAGCTCCCCAGACACCCCAGAGACAACACCTCAGAGATCCCAGAGACAGCCCCTAGACACCCCCAGACCAGAGAAAGTACCCCAGAAAGACTAGAGACAGCCCCCAGACACCCCAGAGACAGCCCCCAGATATCCCAGAGACAGCCTCCCAGACACCCCAGAGACAGCCTCCCAGACACCCCAGAGA